GTCATCGACGACTTGGTCTTCCTTGAAAGGGTGCTGTCTTCAGACGTTGGCCGGATCAGGAGCGGCGAGCTTAAGTCGCTCGGGCATGCTCGGCTCGATGCCGCCCTCTCGGCCTACGACGCGGCCCCTTTAGCTGTTAGCCCCGACAAGGTCTTTCACGATTGCGACCGGGCTTCCTTTTGGGGCATAACTGTGCATGGCCGCTCCGGCTGGGTCAGGCCTAATCCGGACCGCCTGTGGGCACTCGTTCTGGTGACGTCGCGGATCGTGCAGCTTGGGCTGTGCACAGCTCAGCTTCTCGAAAGTGTCGTGGGGTCGTGGCTGTCGATTTTCCTGCTTCGGCGCCGGCTGCTTGCCGCAATGGATCATGTCTTCGCTGCGGCCCGCGGCCTCGCCCCAAACGCAATCATTCGGCTCTCGCCCGAGCTCTCCGCCGAGCTCTGTTCTTTTGTGCTGCTTGGGCCGCTTGCTGCTGTGTGCCTGAGGGCCCCTGTCGATCCCCATGTGACCGCGACCGACGCTTCCTCTACGTGGCAAGCTGCCGTGCGTGCTCCGATTCCTGAGCCGGCCGCGTCGGAGGGTGTGCGCCAGTGCATACAGAAAGGAGCCTGGACCCGGCTTCTCGCAGAGCCTGCCGCTTGGCTCCGGGAAAAGGGCCTTCTTGCTCTTGAGCTCGAGCTCCCTGACTCAGAGGTTTACTCTGCGCCTCCTCTGTACATTGGCCTTGCGCGCTATCCCTCCTATAGCGAGTGCTGGCGGCGGGAATACAGGACCCGGGTGCACATAAACATTGGAGAGCTGGAAGCCTACTTGCGGGAAGAACGGCGGGCTGGGGCTAGGAGACCTAGTTGCCGGCACCTTTTCGGCCTCGACAGCCAGGTTTGCCTGGGAGCGCTTTGCAAGGGGAGATCAGCCAGCCCGGCTTTGAACGGTTTGCTTTCGCGGAGCATCGCGCCTTACATAGGGTATCAGATGTTGCCCCACCACATCTTTTTCCCCTCGGCCGAGAACCCTGCCGATGATCCCACCAGGTTTCAGCAAGT